ATTTATTTGCCCTATTCTAAAGTGCTTCAATTAATAAAGACAAAATTCAATTTTAACAACCAAGTTTCCCTAAAGAAAAATAAAAGGCAGATTGCTGATAAGCTTACAAGAGGGTGCAATAATGTATGCCAAAATAGCATGCTTTTTGGACAGAATTGATATCCAAAAATGTCCAAAATTAATGTCTTTTTGGACTGGAATTAATGATGGCAATAATATTAAGTCAGTGGACTAAAGATTGCAATAGGTTTTAATGAGACAGCAGTAGTATTTATAACATGTGGATTAAACAAAATTAACTAGCTTTTAATTTATTATGTCAACAGATATAATTAATGCATATATTTTTCAAACGCTTTTCATGTAGATTCTATTGATGTATATAAAAAGCCATAATAGAAATACCAACTTCGCTGGCAAAGAGGAAAAAGACTAGATAATTTTCCTGATTAAAATAGGAATGACTAGTCAAAAAGAAATTTGCCATTACTGACTCTAAATACCAGCTTAAAGGTCTATATTGGCCTATAATTAGATTTTGCAGTAAGTTCTCATTCATGAAATCTGTTTTATTTAAAAGGAATTAGGTTAGACTTTTACAGAGGCAATAGGAGTACCTGTGAGAAATTTATTCAAATTCTCCAGGTTCCATTTAACACGTGTCCTTTCGCTTTCTTCCAGCTAATGCTCAGGAATAAAGATGACCACAGGCGGCACCTGTGGGTCAGAAGAGTGGGGCACCGACCCCACATGCTAGAGGTGAGGGGTACAAACCCAGCCCCTGCCAAAAACTGCAAAAAATAAAGATGACCACAAACTCCTGTTTTCTACAATGCTTTTCTGGAAAGATTCTGAAGAACACGAAGATATAAAAAGAAAACCAAAATCTCAGTGCCACTCCCCCCAACTCTTTATGCAAAAGAAAAGGTAAAGGCCTCAGGCACCCGTGAAGAACTGGCCCCACGGATCATTCATTAAGAAAATTCCTTGCTACTCCCCCATAAATAAGGATATGAAAATTGTAACTGATGTCTAGCACTTAAACAAGTTTATCTTTACAGATAACAGAACTCGAGACACAGAATAAGACATTCTTCCACTATACCCATCTATATAATTGATGCTGCCTTCACTTCTTTTATCTAATATTCCCCTAGTTTTACATAAAATGTAGATTTCCTGGGCCTCACAAGAATGTAACCATTTGCCTCATCAACCTCCCTGCTCCCGTTTTGCCTTACTTAAAAAAAAAACCCCAAATTTCTTTTTTGAGAAAAGGTCTCACTATGTTGCCCAGTCCAGAGTGCATAGCTTACTACAACCTTGGGCTCAAAGGATTCTCCTGCTTCAGCTTCCTAAATAGGTGGGACCACAGGTGTACTCCATCATGCCTGGCTAATTTTCCTATTTTTTGTAGAGATGGGGTCTTGCTCTTGCTTAGGCTGGTCTCAAACTCCTGAGCTCAAGTGATCCTCATGCCTCAGCTTCCCAGAGTGCCAGGATACAGGCATAAACCATCGCGCCCAACCTCTATATGACTTTAACTGCTGAAAGTTCCAATTTCCCCTTGGGAAAAATAGTTGCAGGTCTGCCTGTGGTTGTTGTTTTTCCTAGGCAAGTCCCCTATTTGTCTTAATAAATCTCCACTGATCGAGATTTTTGCCTCAGTCACTGGCCATATGTCATCTCTACTGATACTTAAATGGAGATAACATATGCTTCATTCATTCATTCGTTCGTTCCTCAGAACCCATGCGAGGTAGCAGGGCAGGAACAGAATTTATAAAGGACAAGTCCTTGCTCCAGATTTTCAGACTGGTAGAGAAGATAAGACATACTCAAGTAACTATTACGTTATATTAGGAAAAAAAAAGCTACAATAATTCAGAGAAGAAATGAGAGCAAATCTGGTTCTTAACATCCAGTGTATTTATAGATCAAAAATGTACCTTTCAGGAATAGCTAAGTGATATTCAAAAACTGACTTGCAATTGGAAAAGACAGAACTTATAAATTCAGTGGTTGTTAAAATGGTTACATCAAGCTTAACCTTTCAATTCTGGCCTTGGTTTAATCTAGATTCTGCTTTCCTTTCTGTCCAACGTAATTATTTTCAACAACAGACTGAGAAAACGTGGTCTTGACCAGGGTCAATCATATCAATTTTCTTTTAAGAAGAAAGATGTATTATTTTCAAATATACTTTCCTCTGGGTGACAGCATTAGGAGTAAATTTAATTTTTAATCCCCTTTATTATCTCGATTTATATAATGAGCATGTTTTACTTTTAAATTTAGGGGAAAGTGGACGGGTGGTGCCTGTGGCTCAGTGAGTAGGGCGCCAGCCCCATATACTGAGGGTGAGTAGGGCGCCGGCCCCATATACTGATCTTTCTTTTAGAGATCCAAATGGGGGCCCATAGTTTGAACTGAACCCACCCCAGCCAAACTGCAACAAAAAAATAGCCAGGTGTTGTGGCAGGTGCCTGTAGTCCCAGTTACTTGAGAGGCTGAGGCAAGAGAATCGCTTGAGCCCAGGAGTTGGAAGTTGCTGTGAGCTGTGACCTCCATGGCACTCTACCTCTACCCAGGGTGACACAGATTCTGTCTTAAAAAAAAAAAAAAAAGAAAGAAAAAAAGAGAAATATAGAAACTGTCACCCAGAGATAAAACTGTTAATTTTATCAAGTTAAATAGAAAATACATACAATTCAAGGGGAAAAAATCTGTTCATTATAAACTCATGACTATGTACTTGTCGAATCTCACAGATGCTTACTTGACATATAGTATTACGCAAAAATCTGAATGTAATGCCATGAATAAGAAGAGTTGTAAACTAAGACTGTTCTACCAGAATGTTGTATAATTGCTAAATTATGAAATTATACCAGGATAAAATTTAAAAAAAGTCTGGCTCAGAACACTTGTCAAAATTGCTCAAAAGCCCAGTGTAGGAATGTTAGTGTGTAAAACAGTGTGCAGTATTTTACTCTATGTCTAATTATTACTCTGGACAACTTGGCTTTCCAGGCAAAGCAATGTGTACACAGAAGAGAGGGATTCTCTCTGGCTGGAAGGTGTGAACACAGGTTTCCAAACTTCCTCCTTTCTTAGCACTCTTAGTGTAGTGTCTCAGTAATTTTTTCATGGTGCTCCAAAGCCAAAAGAAATAGCTAACAATTCTGTTAATCATGTAGTTAGATTCAAATAATTTGATAAATATATATGTCCTAACCATTTAGTAACTATTAAAAGATAGTACCTATAAACTAAAAGAAATGTATTTTTAATTCGTTCTTAAGCAACCAAAATTACTAATGGGATGTGTGCATCTGCGAGCACTGCATGACTTCTTGAATCTTAGAATCAGATTGGACACTATTACCCTCATTTCATGTTCCACACTGATTTTTGTGTGGTACTTGCTTTTTATAATAGCACTGCTAAAAAACTAACTCTGCAAAGATACAATGTCATTAAACAGAATACCACAGAATCTAATGCCAAAACTGGGAACTCCTTCGAGTTAGAGGTTCAAGTAATTATCTATCACAGGTGTTGAATAGCCATCCTCGTGCTGCACTTGGAGTTTGCAGTGGTCATTGTGGGAAAATAAGGCCACATTCAACATTTTTCCATTGCCCTATTATCACTAAAAAAGTGGTAGGAACTCCTACATAAATGGATGTCGTGGAAAGATTTGATGCCTCTACTATATAAACTGCTGGTTCTCTTGTTATAGAGATTGAAATGGGGGCCCACAGTATTCCTTAATCATACATAGACAAAAGGAATCCTCCTCCTTATGGATTCCCAGGGAACATACATGCCCCTGGGCAATAGGATCCCACGGAGCTACTTTCAAATTCTTACTTTTACTCATATAAATGCTTGTTATAACAGTCCTACAGTCTATCTTTATCACAAATAATCCCATTATTAGGCACATAATACAAAAAATGACTAGTACTTGCAAATAAATTAAAATTTGCATGATAATCTTTTGTTATCATGCAGAAAGAAGCAATAATAGAATTCCCCTTGGTTTACAGAACAACCTGTCATATCTTTAGAGAAGGGAAGACATTATTTTGCCTACCATTGAATCTTTTTAAAATTATTATGACAGAAGAATGAGGCAGAAAGGAGAGCATTCAGAGGGAGACGTAAATATAGAAGAAAGGCACAGATAATGTAGTGTGAAAAGCACTTGCTGGGTTTGAAGATGGATGGGATGAGGCCATAAGCCAAGGAATGTGGGTAGCCTCTAGAAGTTGGAAAGGTAAGGAAACAGATTCCTCCCTAAAGTCTGCTCACATTCTGATTTTAGCTCAGTGAGACCTTTGTTGAACTTCTAACCTACAGAAATGTAAGATTATACATTTGTGTTGTTTTAAGCTACTAAACTTGCACAACTTATAGCAGTAACAGAAAACTCACACAGACCCTGAATTGATATTAATAATAATAAAAACAACAATAGCACCTATAAATATTTCAGATAAACTAGAACTAAGTAAGCTGGCTATAACATACCTTCAATAGATATTCCTAGTAAGTTTTGCTTTGTGTTGATGATGTAATAAAATTAAATATAAAATAAACTTGTAGTTTCTGGTTCAAAGAATTTTACTGAAGTGTACTTTAAATATCATAATTAATTTTCCTTAATGTTTACAAGGACATGTTGACTATAGCCAAGACAAAAATCTCGGTATTATGATCCGATATGAATTTTTAAAAATTTAGGTTTTCTCATGCTTTATGTGCTTAGGCTAATGAGTATACTTCTTTTCCACAAGCGAAATACCAATTAAAATATTTTTAGTATTTCTTGGACGCTTGTTAGATGAGATGATAGCTGCGTGCCTGGACAAGGAAAATCTTTGGGTATATTTTAACAATTACAGAAAGCGAGAAAAATTCCTATTGTCAGTGTATGTATGCTTCTGTTACATAAAAACATTTATTTGAAGTAAAAAATAGCTTTTGTTCACCTGTGGTTAAGGGCAGGTGTGTGATGCTGTTCAGACAGCTCAGGGTGAACCATGTGGATGATAATGTGGCCCCAGAAAACAGGAGGAGAAGAATTAGTTTCAGCATGCCCCGGATAAAATCTGCAAACCTGAAGAGAAACAATGTTCGATTAATTCTAGCTGGACTTAAAAATACTATTTAAATCAATGACACACATTCATTAAATAATTACTTGAAGAATTTTCCATGCTTTTTTTTGAGGCAGAGTCTCATTTTGTCACCCCTGATAGAGTGTCATGGCATCATAGCTCACAGCAACCTCAGACTCCTAGGCTCAACTTGCCTCAGTCTCCCGAGTAGCTGGGATAATAGGAGCCAGCCACAATACTCAGCTGTTTTTAGAGGTGGTCTCCCTCTAGCTCAGGCTGGCCTCTAACTTGTGAGCTCAGGTGATGCGCCTGCCTCAGCCTCCCAGAGTGCTGGGATTACAGGCGTGAACCGCCACACCACCTTACCTCCATGTATTCTTTTTTTTAAATTTTTATTTATTTATTTATTTATTTTTGAGACAGAGCCTCAAGCTGTCCCCCTGGGTAGAGTGCCGTGGCATTATAGCTCACAGCAACCTCCAACTCCTGGGCTCAAGTGAGTCTCCTGCCTCTGCCTCCCAAGTAGCTGGGACCACAGGTGCCCGCCACAACGCCCGGCTATTTTTTGGTTGCAGCCGCCATTGTTGTTTGGCGGGTCCGGGCTGGGGATTCGAACCCGCCACCTTAAGTGTATGTGGCTGGCGCCTTAGCTGGTTGAGCCATAGGCGCCGAGCCCATGTATTCTTTTTAAAGCTAGTTTTTTGTTTTGTTTTTTAATAAATTTCCCAGTATGAGGTTGCTTTGTGATATATATTTTTTCTCTTACAAAACACACAAAATGGTATCTCTGATCAGGATCTATAACTTGTAGGATGGACTCTGAGTTTTTAAATGCCACTTTTATTTTCCTTACATTTTTCTATACTTTCCAAACATTCTATAATGAGCACTTGTTATCCCAGTTTTAGAAGGCAGGTTAATTTGTGGACATACACTTGCAAAGATGGCTCTTCCAAAATTCAAAACTCATTTACAGAAAAAATACAAATGCGTACACCAGACCCTTTGAGATCCTACATGATCTGGTCCTTGCCATTGCTGTCCCTTCTCCTTACTATTCTCCAGTTGGACAGCCATGTGTCTGTTTCTCATACATGCTAAGGTTGCTTCCCACAGCAATCTGTAGCTTCTGTACTTGTTCCATCTGCCTGGAATGCTGGCACAACAACTCCCACCTTCACACTGCACTCTTATGCCTCAGATCATTCAGGTCTTGGTTTAACAAGGCCCTCCAAGCTCACTGAGAAAGCTTTCCTCTTCACGGTTTCACTTTGCTTTCTTTCTTCATAGCATTTATTTATTTATTATTTTTTTTTGAGACAGGGTCTCACTATGTCCCTTTTGGTAGAGTGTTGTGACATCACAGCTCACAGCAACCTCAAACTCTTGGGCTTAAGTGATTCTCTTGCCTCTGCCTCCCAAGCCTCTGCAGCTGGGACCACAGGTACCTGCCACGATGTCCAGCTATTTTTTGGTTGCAGTTGTCACTGTTCGGCTCCAACTCACCGGCCTCCGTATATGTGGCTGGCACTCTACTCACTGAGCTACAGGTGCCGAGCCACTTCATAGCATTTTTATCTATTGGAAATTGTCTTGTTTATTTTTTTGTTTTTCCTACCAGACTGTAAGCTTCCTGGAAGCAAAAATATAGCATCAGAAAGAGTGAATGTTATTATGAAATCTTGGGAATTTTATAGTATCTTTAGTTCTCAAAATCTCTGCCTTTTTCTGAATCAACATGAAACTAAAAGGTATCTGGTAGAAATACTTATCATTTAGTTATGCCAAAAAAATTTTTCCATTTGCCAACTGCTTTTTCTCACCTGCAGATTAATTGTTGATTGTATAGGCTGTGACTATAAATAATTTATTCTGTCCTTCAGAATTACTCCTATTATAGAGAAATTGATCCCATCGCAAATATAACGTTTATCATTTATCATGTTCTTTCCACTTTAAACATTTGAAAACTGATTCTAATTTCTACTATAATTATGTAACTGTCTTTCTTAACACTTTCAATATTTCTATTTTGCCGTTATCTGACATGGTTAGTCATGTGGGAAAGCATTTTTTAGACTAACATGAGAGCTGATCTATGTGAGTATCTGTGAGAGCTGATGCCATCTTTTGGTGAGAAAAATGAATGCACTTTTGCCCAGTTGACTTAGGTTTGTTTATATCTAATATATTTCATAAATTGAAAATTCTTACGTACTCTGAAAAAGGTTCCACAGGTTGACAGAAACATTCCTCAAGAAAATCCCAAAAACTTTGTTTTAATTCCACGCCTATCAAACATTTTTGTGATTTCCATTTGAGTATGCTAAGTATACTTATTTGTCAGGTAGGAAGATGACAGGGTATGAGAGAAAAAAACTTTCTGGTACAATCAGAATTGAACTGCAAGACACAAGAATAAACTGACTACTGTAGCCTGCTATTCTGGGGGACCCAGTCCTTTCAAACATACTTATATGGGCCAGGTGCAGTGGCTAACATTCTGGAAGACCAAGGCAGATAGATTGCCTGAGATCAGGAGTTCGAGACCAGCCTGAGCCAGAGCGAGACCCCCATCTCTAAAAATAGCTGTGGTGGGTGCCCGTAGTCCCAGCTACTTAGGAGGTTGAGGCAAGAGGATCATTTGATCCCAAGAGTTTGAGGTTGCTGTTAGCTACGATGCCACAGTACTCTACCCAGGGTGACAAAGTAAGACTTTGTCTCAAAAAAAAAAAGGGCGGCACCTGTGGCTCAGTGAGTACGGCAGTGGCCCATATACCAAGGGTGGTGGGTTCAAACTTGGCCCTGGTCGGGTTTGAACTGCAACAAAAAATAGCTGGGCGTTGTGATGAGTGCCTATAGTCCTAGCTACTCGGGAGGCTGAGATAAGAGAATCACCTAAGCTGTGATGCCACAGCACTCTACCAAGGGTGACAAAGTGAGACTCTGTCTATAAAAAAAAAAAGACTGATATCAAAGTATAACCTTGAATAATGGCCTTTAATAACATAATTTTAAAAAATCACTCAAAGCACTCATGTCTTTAAAGAGATTCTATTCTAGGGAATCCCAAAAACGATAATGGAAAATAATAGGCCATGGAGACAACTAAAATTGATTTCAGATCCCAGAGTAAGAGGAGTCCTGATTTTTTCAGAACTTCCATTTAAGCAAATTAAAAGTAGAAATGTCCTCATTCTAATTGCCCCCTCCAGTTCCATCTATCTCTAGTTAAAATTAAGGGGTATGGAAAGAAAATAAAGTATGTAAGTTGTCATTTTTGATACATAATGGTTCCCTCTCTGACCTCTTTAGTGCTCAGAATAGGATTGATCAATGATGACTCATTGAGACTGGCTTGGAGATTTAATTAGAAAAATTAGGTATGATTCTTGTCAAAATGTGACAGGTCAATGTACTTTTAAGTATCAGTGATTTCTTACAAATATTATTTCCCAATCCCACTTCTTTAGCTTTTATATTGTATTCTTACATTTTCTTAACTTAGAAAAATCTGAAATAAAGTGATTTAGAAATTACAGTATCAATTTATTCTTTCATTACCCCAGAACACTACGCAAACTATAAGGTTTAGATATAATATTATCACGTGTCAATTACAATCAAATATTTAGATATTGAGGTGATTTATATATCTTCTTTGATCTCTCCAAATATGTCATTAGATTTTCCTCTTTCTGGTAAAGCTGATTGTCCAGTTTTTTTTTTTTTTATTAGACAGGGTAAAACGATATAAGAGGTGAATGAATATTCTCTCTTTGGAACATCAAGAGTAGTGTGATAGGCAGATACCTAAAAGAGTGACATTTTCATTCTTTTTCTTTTTTTTAGAATGGATGAGACCTTTTTTCCTTCTTCTGACTCATTCTAAAAAAATGTGCTGTCATAATAAGTTAAGATCAAAGGGAGTCTGATGAAACTGGAAGTCTTTACAGACATTTTTTCATCAAACGGAAGAACCATAGGGAAACATCTGCCAAAAAAAAAAAAAAAAAAAAAAAGACCAGAAATAAGCATCTACTAATCAGGATATTACCTTTTCACGGAAAGTTCTAGAGATGCTTTTACAAATGACTCTTTTCTTTTTTTTTTTTTGAGACAGAGCCTCAAGCTGTCCCCCTGGGTAGAGTGCCATGGCATCACGCTTACAGCAACCTCCAACTCCTGGGCTCAAGCGAGTCT